GGATTTTGCTCTCGAAGTGGGATGATACCTTGGTTTTCAAGCTGTTGGATTTCTTGCAATGTCAAGATCATGCAACTTTGTCTTTGGAGTGTGAAGACAACAATCTTCTCACTTCAGCGACCCAGCATCTGAAGTTAAGTCTTCGTTCTGTATCCTTGTTTGAAGTCCAAAAGAAGCTAAAAGTCCTTGGAGATGTTTACGGACATACATCAGAAGGGTTTGCGAAATGCTTTCTCTACTATTACACCAAGGTTTTCGAAAAACAAGCATCTGGAAATCCACATGCAGGAACCACTGCTATGTATGAGCATTTAAATCGACTTCGTACACAGCTTGGTAATATGCACAGAAAGCATCGAACTCTTTTTTCCCGAATCGAAAAGTGGTCTACCTCACATTTCGAAGATTTGAATTCATTACAATCCACGATTCACGATTACTTTTTGCGGTAAGTCTGTGATGTTGCTTTCTTCCCCTCTCTGTAGTGTGATCATTCTGCAGATATGCAAAATTGTCGGATGAGCATGTTGATCCATGTCCCCCAAAGAAGCACACCAAGGCAGACTCCGAGCTGTTCATTCAGACAGTTTGTGAAACGTTCAGAACCCTTGATGGCAACACCCGATGTGAAATCATCCGAAGGATTCTGAGTGAGCACGACTCTCTGTGTCAAGCACAAAAGAAAACATCGGAGCATGAGTTCTCTGCAATATGCAATGTCGAAAGAGCAGTTTCAAACTTACATGCTTGTGGATTGCCAGATGTAGTTTCTGAATTGGTGATGTTTGCCAGTAATGATATCGACGCTTTCAGAACAACACACAAAATCATGCCGTACTTGGTAATGGATTGGTGTCGTCAAAGTTTTAGAGCGAAAGATTCGAGGGGCATGAGATTCTCCCCGGAGATTATCAGTTTCGCATCAACACTCAAAAACCTTGGCAATGCGACAATGTTGCGGTTCCTGTCAGGGCCAGGGAACAAGTTTACAGACAATTTCCATTCTGATCAGGCTTTACATAACTTGCCTCTGCCATGCATCTCTACTCTTTGCAAGCATCAAAGTGCTGACATGAAAACACGAGATGTGAAAAGGTCAAGAATATGTAGCGAAATTTTGGACAATTACAGCGAAATGATGAGTACTAACCTTGTAGATGGTATCCACGTGTTGGCGATGGACAAGACGATGATCAATGCTGGTTTTTGTAAAGAATTCGAAGATTGCGAAGCAGATTTAGGCGGTGTCACTGAAAGAAAGATGGATTTGACGGAACGGCTTGCACTGCGAAAGGAACGTTTGGCACAGCTTTGTCTGGAAGGGACGACAGTTGCATCGATTCAGGAACGAGTCATAGCCTTGTTGACCGACGACTTGGAGAAAATTAATGAAAGGAAAGCAACGGCTGAACGGGATTACAAGAAAATTCGAGACAAGTATGTCGCAAAAATGACGAGCAACAATGCTGTGGCGAGGTCAGACACGAGAAGAAATTCCTCCAATGAAGTCAGATTTACTCCACATCAATTGTACTTGACTGGGGTGATTGAGGGTGTTGTCAAATTCAGATTCAAGTGCCGAACCTGATTGAACGACTGAATAACTACATGAGTAGTGCCGCACCAGAGGAGCAACGTCAACTGCAAGATGAATTGAATTTGTACAATGACTTGTACTATAAGACGGCAATAGCAGAACTTGGAGAGGATGCCATCTGTGTTGTTG